GCATAAAACACATTTTGCTGGTTATTGTACACTGAGTGCTAACTAACGATGTGGCAGGTACTCATTTACACAGTAATAGATCGGGTATAAATGGGCTCAAGTCTGTCTTCATGGACTTGTCAACCTTGGGAAAGGGTGATAATTCTAAATGAAAGGGAAGATAACTCTTGTAAGCAGTGCACAGGGCTGCAGCAGGCTGACAAAATGGAAGAGAAACATTGCAAAACTGGCCACACTTTGACCTTGACTCAACTAAAATGACAACAAAAGATCGTTTATGGGCCAAACCCTGTAGTATTGATTTCGAGTTTTCTCAGTCTTAGCTGAACACAAAACAAGCTTTGTGACATTGTTGCATTACAACACAAACCACTGGACCGAAAATCCTTCCCGCTTAAAACTGTTAATGTAGTGCATATGCTTGTGCAAGATCTTCAGCCCCTGTAGTAATAGTGCTAGGTTTGTTGTTTCACACTGTCCAAATTATGTGTCAGTACAGGTGCTTGTGTCAGAGTCTGTTATTAACAAACGGGTACTAAAGTACAGGTACTCAAGGTCTGAGTCAGTTAATGACAAAAGGGTACTGAAGTACAGGTACTTGAGGTCCGAGTCAGTTAATGACAAAAGGGTACTGAAGTACAGGTACTCGAGGTCAGTGTCAGTTAATGACTAGCAGGTACTGAAGAACAGGTACTCGAGGTCAGAGTCAGTTAATGACAAACGGGTGAATGAGTCAGGTTGAGTTGTACTCAGAAGAGCACTATTGTTTAAGCTCATAATTGTCACAGAAGATGTTTGGTGCTTCGTTAGTGATAACTTAGAGAGGATGTTCTGTGCAAGCTGCTCGGTACTACAGCTGGCTATCAACATAGATCCTAGAGATTGATAATCATTAACTAAATATCGATCAATTATAGATAAATATCGGAGATGTAACTTTGAGCAAAAATGCCGAAAATGTCTGAAACAAATGAATATATTTCACATCACTGGCAAGTGGTGACATGTTTTTGCATTGATTATTAACAAAACAGCGTGCTGAACATTAGAATAAAGTCCTAGCATTGCATATTGTGTCAGAAAATGAAAACATTTTTCGATCTCAAAACTTATTGTACTTTATTATTGATAACACAATTGTCATATCAATAATCAGAAATAATTTTTCCCATTGATGACATTTCTAATTATCGATCATTTTTGCCAGTCCTACTTGGTACAGCATAGTCTGTCTCACGGTCCCTGAACCGCAATATTTTCCCCTCTGACCATCCCTTTCTGCAATGCTAAAGCCCTAAATGAAGCAGGTGTAGATTTCCACAGGTTCTGAATCTCCCATCTCACTGGGATACCTTTTCAATTTTTAAGAAATTGTTTGTTTCTATAAAAATTATATTTTTTCAGATACCAAGTATTAGTGTAGGTGCACCACAACTCCATGCAAACCAGAATATAGAAACGACATAGCTGCCCAACTGTTCATTGGCTTAATAAGATTTAAAAAACTGTTTGCACAGAATTTACTGACAAGAGGCCCACAACAACCTTCCCAATCATCACACTCCTGAAAGCAATTACGCAGATGTATGCTGTGCAGTGCTATGACTAATTTGACCTTTGTCAACGTATAGAAAGTTTCACCGGGCTAACAATAACCTCTATATCTCCTGTGTCAAAGGAGGAAGGAAACTGCTATTTAAACTTGACTAATCCGTTGCTTTAGACATGCATGAGGAGCTGTGTGTGGTGTGTTAATACATGTATGGATATAATAGGTCGATACCAGTAGTACATGTCTGGGGTGGTGATGTTGAATACTGCTAGAAAATCCATGTTGCAGGACGATTAAGTAGTTTGTCTCACAGTCCCTGAATCACATTATTTTCCTACTGCCTAACCCTCCTGCAATGCTAAAGCCCTAAATGAAGCAGGCCTAGATTTCCTCAGGTTCTAAATCTCCCATCTCACTGGGGCTCCTTTTCAATTTAAATGGCTTTATATTACTATCAAACTTATATATATTCAAAGACTAAGTAACCCATGCTTGTCGTAAGAGGCGACTAACGGGATCGGGTGGTCAGGCTCGCTGACTTGGTTGACACATGTCATCGGTTCCCAATTGCCCTGATCGATGCTCCTGCTGTTGATCACTGGATTGTGTGATCCAAACTCGATTATTTACAGACCGCGCCATATAGCTGGAATATTGCTGAGTGCAGCGTAAAAATCAACTCACTCACTCACTCAAAACTAAGCGTTAGTCCAGACGAAAGTAGCAACATACTGTTGTAATACTTGTACTAATTTTACAATAGTGTCTTGTCTGTTGCAGAACTAGAGGTGGTGGGGTAGATTAGTGGGTAAAGCATTTGCTCATCATACCGAAGATCCGGGTTCGATTCCCCACATGGGTACATTGTGGGAAGCTCATTTCTGGTGTGATATTGCAGGAATATTGCTAAAACCGACGTTAAAAGTATGCTCACTTACTCACTCACTCACTCACTCTTGCAAAACTGTTATAAAAATGTCATCACCCTGATTATTATCACACATTAAGTAACATGAAAGAACCTTAACCTTCTTTGAGCAGTATATATGACAGGTTGTTTTGAATGTAAAGGTCAGGTTCACAGGGTCACTGTCCGATGATTCCTGGTAATGAGAGATATAGGACACATTGGCAGTAACAGCCTACAAATATGACTGTTGTGTAATGAATAGGGATGTCACGATACATAAGTTTCATGATTCGATACGTATCACAATACCTAATTTTGCAGCATAATTTAGTTACATTTTGAACATTAATATTTCATATTTTATAATTGTCCATGAAAAGATCAACATTTTTTATTCTTAGAGATTAAAAAGTTCTAATTTCCCATCTTTGTGCATGAAAAATAATCATTTATAACTCTCATAACATAAAAAAACATTATAAAATTGCAACATGTAAGTGATCCATAAACATATTTAAACCGATACTTTCAAAACTAAATATTGATACAGTTTTGAATGTATCGATAATTGTATCGTCTTCGAAAAAGTATCGATGTATAGTGGCATCCCTAGTAATGAATGTGCAAGAAGTGGTTTCTAAACAAACGATTTTAAGAGGTGAACACTGGGTATTTGTACCCAGTGCACCTTAGGCAGTAAACTTGTTGTACAAGACAAAACCAGCTGCTGCGTAATATCTGATTATGTAAAAGCAGGGGTGGAAATAACCCATTGCCCGACGCCCGAGTCCAGTGTTTTTTTGTGTTGGGCAAGCAAATTTGTATATCACACTGTACCGGTGTCCAGTTGACTTTCCAATGTTAATTATGTTTTTTTTTTAAGAAATCAACAAGGAAAACATACGGTATAGTGGAAAAATTATCAGGGCAAGTGATTTTAAATGTGCCACTGTACCAGAGTACACTTGCAATTTTAAAGTTATTTCCCCCCCTGAAAAGACTTGAGTTTGGGTACTGAAGATGTTTAATATTGTAAACAAATTATTCAGGGTCTGATAGGATCATTTTATCTTACTTCATTACATTTGATGACATGAACAGTAATGGTCATTCAGTCAGTTTTGTGTAGTCATTGCTCCAAGCCAATTCCTCACCATTTTGTTTTCCAGCTGAAGTCTGTTCTTTGAACAACAAAATATTAAGCTAGTTGGTATAAATATAAATATACGGTAGTCTTTTGTAGTTTCAGGTTGCACCAGTGTAACCTTGAGCCCTGGGAATTTTTTACAAATTCATTTGAGCTATGCGACACTATGGCATATTTATAAACATGAACTTGTGAAGATCAGGGTTAGAATTGATCTTCAGTAACCCATGCTTGTAAGAGGTGACTAACAGGATCGGGTGGTCAGGCTTGCTGACTTGTTTGTCACTTGTCATCGTATCCCAATTGTGTAGATCGATGCTCATTATGGTGATCACTGGATTGTCTGATCCAGATTTGATTATGTACAGGCTGCTTCCATATAGCTCAAATTTTGCTGAGTGCAGCGTAAAACGAAACTCACTCACTCATTCACTATAAACTTGCATGATACCCATGTGCAGTTCTGTTAGTCTTCTTCAGACTGAGGGGACCGTGGGGTAGCCTAGCAGTTAAAGCGTTCGCTTGTCATGCCGAAGACCCGGGTTCTAATGCCCACATGGGTACAATGTGTGAAGCCCATTTCTGGTGTCCCCCGCCGTGATGTTGCTGGAATATTGCTAAAAGCGGCGTAAAACCAAACTCAGTCAGTCAGTCAGTCTTCAGACTGACATTGAGATTTATATGAGGATTTTGTTCATATAAGAATGTTCTCACTTTACGATATAGTATCAACACCAGATTGTACATGCATTTGTTATTCATTAACAGAATTTGATTGCATGAATACTGACAAGATAGAATACCCGTAAAGATTCTTTTAAAATTGGTCTTCAGCAACCTATGCTTGTCATATGAGGTGACTAATTGGATCAGGTGGTCAGACTTGCTGACTTGTCATTGTATGTTGATTGATGCTCATGTTGTTGATCACTGGATTGTCAGGTCCAAACTCGATTATTTACAATTGATTGATTTATAATTGATTGAATGAGTATGGTGTTTTACCACTTTTAGCAATATTCCAACAATATCATGGCAGGGGACAATAGAAATGGGCTTCACACATTGTACCCATGTGGGAACTCGAACTGTGCCTTCAGTGTCACAAGTGAACGCTTTAACCACTAGGCTACCCCACCGCCCCCTTGTTGATTGAGTGTCATCGTATCCTGATGGAGAGAACTGTAGCTCACACTATCAATCACTGGATTGTCTGGACATTGATGTTATGATGAAAATATTGATGACAATCAAATAATGCATTTGTGGTTGCGAACGTTCTGTTTTACTGGAAATGGTTGCAAAACCAATATTATGTCTTCTGTTATGTGTGGCTGCAATGTTTTCAAGTTAGGTAAAAGCTATTTAGTCCTGGTTATTCTACTTCACAGAATATCTTGTCCCTGAACCCGCGGGTGACGACACACGCCAATGCTGTCCCCAGCGCTGTCACCAAGTCTGCCAAGAAGCATTGGAAGAGGAACCAGGACAAGTCCTGCTCTGTGAGTAGTCCCTCTGGTCATTTGTTGTACCTATTGTGTGAATAGTCCAAAGGGTTAACTGTTGTACTGGCTATTTTGGGAATCCCTCCAAAATATGTGCGTCTTCTATTTCAGTCCACCCGAATACATGCATGACACAACTCAAGAAAAAACACTTACAGATATAAAGCCAGAGACATATATACTAACGTTTGATGCCTCAATGATACTGCTAATTTTTCCTTATCCTGACTCATGTTCTTTTTGCTTGTCTTCTTCTTCTTGCGAACATAGTGGAACACTTGTATCTCCCTAATTGAAGCTCCCTTCAATGTAAAATCACTAATTAGTACTCACCACGAGTTACCTCCCTTCCACAAGCGCGGGAACGAGGGCGCCACCTCCACCCATGTGCCTCACTCTCTCCTTCTTCGCCCAGTGAGCTGGACTTGAGAGCGCCTGTGTCTCCCGACACACTATATCCTTTGATTATATTTAGTTAGTTACCTCGTATAGACATCTATAGAGGTTTAGCTAGTATCCTTCAACAATTATATATTGATATTTAGTCGTGTTTCTACTGTTTATTCACGGGACGCCATGTTTGTTTCAGTGGATTACGTTGATGAAAATTCTGTACTGTTGCAGATTACGTTTTTTATTCTGCTGCTGATCCGCATTTAATATGCCCTAGTTGTACTGCGCCATGTTCATTTTATTCACGTTGCAGTTGCGGTACTAATTTATCCAATTCTGCCTTTTATAAATATTTACTTTGCGTTTGAGACGCGCAGCAGATAGGTCGCGTATGCAGAGTCTAGCATGACTGATACACCTGAACCCCTCGCCAGTCTACTGCTGTTGGTCAACCCCCCTCCCGTGTGGTGTTCCGCTAGAGTGGTGGAGAGGCGTGGGACGTAGTCCGCCGCCTCCAAGAAGCGTCCTGCTTCCCCAGAAATCCCATCGTCGCAGCCGAAGACTAGAGGGTTTCTACTGCATCTCAACGCAGACTTCGCGCACCCCCAGCAGCATCGACCTCTGAGGGGAAATCAACGAAGTCTACTAGAACTTTCTCAGCTGAGATTGTTCCCATCGCAGATTTGGGCCTGTATGATGATCAGCCGATCATCATACCTGATGTACATCAAAAGAATGACCGATGTCGGCAACAGTGATGTCAGCGCAGATCAACATGCAGCCTGATGTACCAACGCTGATATTCGATGATCTTCCTGAAGGTCCTCGTCGCTACCAACACTCAACGCAGACTTCGCACCCCCAGGGCAGCGTCGACCTCTGAGGGGAAATCAACGAAGTCTACTAGGACTTTCTCAACCGAGATTGTTCCAGCCGCTGAACTGGGCCTCTACGATGATCAGCCGATCATCATCCCCGACGTACGCCACAAGAAGCGACCGGTGACAGCTACAATGACATCAGCAGAGATCGCCATGCAGCCTGATGTCTCTACACTGATGTCAGACGACTTCCCTGAGGGCCCCACCGCTAACATCGCAGAGAGGGCACCGACTACTTCGTCGCAGACCATCCCAGATGAACTGTTGCGGCAAATCATGATCATGATGGAGGGCCACTACAGACTGGAGAAGCAGCCAGCCCAGGGCCTGAGCCTTCGCGAAGGTTCCAACGCAGACGACACCCCAGAGGCACCCCCCGTCAGCGTAGCAGCCACGACGAAGCCACCTTCGCGAAGGAAGTCGCAGACCACCTCGACGAGGGACCCAGATGTACAGCCTTCGCGAAGGCGGGATAGATCATCACCTTCCTCGGCTACATCCTTAGATGCAGACTCAGACCACCAGACCACACGGAAGCCTTCGCGAAGGTCAAGTTGCCGTTCCCCAGGACCGGACGCGGAGGAAGGCCTTCGCGAAGGACACCTGACCACAGATCGTCATCGTCCAGAAGGACTTCGAGGGACTACACAAGAGCTTCGCGAAGCTATCAACATTCTCCTCACAGGTCTCCGAGAAGGTCAACCCATAGACGCAGATCACCAAGACGATCGCCTCGCCGTTCACCGCGCCGATCTCCTCATACATCACCACGTCGATCGCCTCACAGGTCACCACACAAGTCTGCACACAAGTCTACAGTCAGGTCTCCCCGAGCGTCACCCGACATAGAGATAGAAACACACAGTCCACCATCAGAAGAGCATCAACCTCTCATCAGCGATGCTGGGATAGAAGATGATAGAGGCATCATTTTCTCAGACGCTGAGATACGATATTGGATGGTAAACAACCTAGATCTCTTCACCTTCCAAGAGTGGCAACTCGGCGCAGACATACCTGATGAAGGAAGACGATGCAGACACCATCACCTTACCTCCGATCGACCCGATTGCTGCGGTGCCACAGAATGAGGACACAGCCTACCATAAAGCCATGAAAGTTCAAACACCAGAGGCGTATGTTCTTGGCCTTAATAGATCTAGAACGATCAATAAGATTCTTATCACCAGATTTCGTGACACGACTTCTGAAGATGATAGGATGATCTACTCGGCTCTACTTATGCAGAACCAGCAAGAACCACACCCTGTATGAAGCTAACACTCATATATTGTTCGGACTATAAACACTTCGCTAAGGAAGTCCCAGGCCGCCTCCGCGAAGGAGCTAGAGCCTCACCAGTTACAAGGGACGTCGCGGAGGAGTAGCGCTTCACCGACCCCACATCCTGTTAAACACAGAGGCCGTTCGCGAAGCAAGCGCTCATATATATATATATACTAATAGGGCTTTGACTCGATACCTTCGTGAAGGTCGCGAAGGCTAAGTGGCTCCAAGTCTACTTCACCCAGAAGATCTAGAAGGGATACTTCGAGAGCTTCGCGAAGTCTCCGGCGTTCACCGAGGAAGTCTCCTCCAAGGTCTCCATATACCAGCCACTCGCCATATATAGCTACTCGTCAGTCCGTTTCAAGACATCGCATAAGTTGTCTATCAACTGTATGCCAGATGCCGCCTATAAGCCTACGCCGAAGACAATTGCACAGGCTATTTACAACACAGAACGCCGCTGTATTAATTAGTCAACGACGCTTCATAGATCTTCACAGAAATCAACCTTTCCGTATAGATTGCTAGAATATGCAATCCCCGATGACGATACGATTATCTACATGTGACCATTACGCATATCTGCAGACAATTCAATATCGAAATTGAACAGCAGCCTTGTTACAGCTTAGTATAACTCATAATCGCCAACGCTTCTGAGAAGAAATATGTACAACAAGTTCAGCTTTAATTCTACAATTATGACGATACATTCATGTATACAGTCTACAAGCTGACAACTTGCAAGTTTATTGTACCTTTATATAAGGAAGTCGGAATTATATTCAAAACTGAAGTTACTTTTCACGACAGCCAGGAAAATAACCTACCCAGCATTAATATTACAGAGTGAGGTATTTCTACCGGAGGTTTCGCTTTACCATTAACCCTCGAAACACGTGGTCACGGGTAACTTCGAAGTTACGTGAAGACCGACGATTATGCTAATATCAACGACGGCAAGATTTTATACAAGGTTTTTCCTGCTACACCGGTGACATCACAGCTGGTATTCTACAGAATCAAAATGCCTTGTTCTGATTGGACCGCTGATGGACAAACCACTCCACGAGAGGTCGCATCTTAGTTCACAGTTCAAGACTTACGCTACAAGTGACAACTATATATCAGTGAACGAGCAAGCCTCCTTACAGTCCAGTTAATCTGAACCTTCATGATTGGGCTGCTTTCTTCAGGTTAGAGACCTCCCCTGTCAAGTTAGGACGAGGCACGGCAGTCAGGCAATTTTACATAAAGTTCAACGAGGACAGACACACCTGGTTGTGCACCTACATTGTCAAGGACTTCGCGAGCTTAATTACCTAGACGACGGGATACAAGTGGATCTAAATCCACAGCGCCTCAGACTACAGCTGAATTTCATCATCAAGCTACTAACACAACTAGATGGTTAGTAAACCTACTTAAGCTTTTGAATGGAGAATTAAAACGGAAGTTTCACCTCCAACTTGGGGATCTGAATATAGTGTTCCAACACCTCACAAGTGAGGTTTATGAACACGCCTGGATGACATACTTGGACTCCATGATACGATGATTCTATCACGATGGCCAGCAAGAGCACTGTAAATTTATCTCCACCGAACCAAACAGGAAGGAAAAATGCAAAAGATTATTTCCTCTATCATCAACTTACGAGAATGAAGTCTCAATGCACTATATCTCCGTTTGGATCAGAACTGTCATACTACGTGCATACAAGACGGATGGACCCAATCCGACCCTCCATGAGCCTTTAATACTCATGATATTAGAGCTAACTTCTACAATTGATCTACACAAATGTTATTTGAAATAATGGAGGGTTTATTTCTGAGATCCGATATGGTGGTTGCCAACCATTATCTGAGAGATATCACCACCGAGGACGCCTCAGGTATCCACCATTCGATCCCATGGTCCTCGCAGACAACAGTTGACAGTTCTCGAGAAGATAAGTCAATCTTACAGATTTCTACTTATCTTATAACAGTACTAAATAGCTACATGCTATATATAATTTGCTTAAGTTCCTTTTATCATCACAGTACTATGATTATTACATCATACAATATATAAGTTAACAACTCTACAGAGTTTGTTATTATATATTTACCTTAAGTTAATCATATCTTAAGAGTAGTACTATGGTTACATGATAAATGCATTAGCTAAACAAACTCTACAGAGTTTTTGGCTATTATATATGTAGCTTAAGTTAATTATATCTTAAGCATAGTACTATACTCATATTGTAAAAATATATTAGCTAACAAACTCTACGGAGTTTTGCTATTATATAGGTAGCTTAAGCTTATTCATATCTTAAGCTCAGTACTATGTTTATATCATATAAGTATATTAGCTAACAAACTCTAAAGAGTTTTTTGCTATTTGGCTTAAGTGTCATCATATCTTAAGCAATATGGTTAC